GACATATGTGTTTGTTTTTCTTGGATATATTTTCCTCTGCAAATATTCAGATGATTACATTGACTTTAGATCTTTGTTAAGGTAGGATGCTAGATTTTACACTTTTTTAGAGAAGTTATTGCAGCTTTGATGGCCTAATCAAGGACATTTAATTTTGAAATTTGGAAAAGAAGCATTAACTTGGTTCTTCTGAAAATATCTTTTTAGTCTTTCCATCTATAAAAATTGAAACAGTGCTCCCCTACTCCTTTACCTTTGTTGTTTAGTCACTAAGTTGTGTCGAACTCTTGCAACACCATGGACTATAGCCTGCCAGGCTCCACCGTCCATGCATTTTCTAGGCAGAATACTGGAGTGGGATGGCATTTCCTCTAGAAGATCTTCCCGACCCTGGGATCAAACCAACATCTCCTGCATTGACAGGAGAATTGTTTACCACAGAGCCACCTGGGGAGCTCACCCATTTTCTTTTGTGAATAGGTAATTCTTTCATGTGTTTGTATCAAGAAATCTTGTTTCTGCCCCTGTCCATAAACATCCAGGTTCCCCTGCACCTTTTAGGGTAACTTTTTATTAGGGGCGGGACGGAGGTGGTGTGCTGCCTTTCTAAAGATGTAGCAAGAAGAAAATACAAAAATATATTCTTATTTTCCCACTCCTCTCCATACAAGGCATCATGCTGTATATATCATTCTGTATTTTGCTTTTAATGTTTTGCTATGTTTTTAATGTTTAATGTTTTGCTTCTAATGTTTATGTGAGCCAGCCGTATAGCTATAGATTCCATTGTACAGATGTACTATAGTTTGCTAGTTATATTATGATATACTATAAGTAGGCTTCCTTGATCAAAGAGAAATATGCATTTGTAATTTTGATAAGATACTTTGAAATTTTGCTTCATAGATTTTGCTTAATTTTGCACTGCTTCCAGCACTACAAAATTCAGAAAACTAAGATCATGTCATCTGGCTCCATCACTTCATGGCAAATAGATGGGGAAACAGTGGCAGACTTTATTCTGGGGGGTTCCAAAATCACTGCAGATGGTGACTGCCACCATGAAATAAAAAGACGCTTACTCCTTGGAAGAAAAGTTACGACCAACCTAGACAGCATATTAAAAAGCAGAGACGTTACTTTGCCAACAAAGGTCTGTCTAGTCAAAGCTATGGTTTTTCCAGTGGTCAGGTATGGATGTGAGAGTTGGACTATAAAGAAAGCTGGATGCCGAAGAATTGATGCTTTTGAACTGTGGTATTGGAGAAGACGCTTGAGAGTCCCTTGGACTGCAAGGAGATCCAACCAGTCCATCCTAAAGGAAATCAGTCCTGAATATTCATTGGAAGGACTGATGCTGAAGCTGAAACTTGAATACTTTGGCTACCTGATGAGAAGAACTGACTCATTTGAAAAAACCCTGATGCTGGGAAAGATTGAAGGCGAGAGGAGAAGGGGACGACAGAGGATGAGGTGGTTGTATGGCATCACTGACTCAACGGACATGAGTTTGAGTGAACTCTGGGAGTTGGTGATGGACAGGGAGGCCTGGCGTCCTGCAGTCCATGGGGTCTCAAAGAGTTGGACATGACTGAGCAACTGAACTGACCAGCACTGTGTGAGATGTCTGTTTACCATAGCCTCACCAGTAGAATATGTTGTCAGACTTTCGTATTTTTGCCAATTTGATAAGTGAAAAAATATTTTGCCAAGTTTGAGTTTGCTTTTCTCTGAGGTTGAACACTTTTTCATGATTTTGAATCCATTTATAATTTGTTTTCCTGAGCTCTCTTTCTTTTGCCCATTTTTCTGGTTGGTCTTAATCTCAGTTTTTCAGGAGCTCCTTATGTATCAGGAAGATTATATTCCTGTTACATAAGTAGCAAATATTTTTTCCTGTTTGTATTTGTCTTTTGACTTTGCTTATATAGTCATTCTCCCAGTATTTGTAGGGGATTTGTTCCAGGACCCCGTAACACATCCCCTACAGATATTGGGGGATGACTGTCTAAGGATCCTTAGATGCTCAAGTCCCTTATATAAAACAGCATAGTATTAATATTTGCATATAACCTATGCACATCCTCCTGTATACTTTGAATCACCTCCAGATTACTTACAGTAGGCAAATTTAAGGTTTACTTTTTTGGAACTTTCTGGATTTTTTTCTAAATATTTTTGATCCTCAGTTGGTTTAATCCATGAATGTGGCAACAACAGATATGGAGGGCTGACTGTATGTAGTATGTTATGTGAGTGTTTTCTTTTATGGCTTCCAGATTTTGCATCGTAGTTTCATAAGCCTTCTTCACTTGATATTGTAAGGGAGCTTGCCATGTTTCTTCTAGTTCTTATATGGTTTGTCCCCTGCTTCCTTCAACATTTGAATCTTTGATCCATTTGGAGTTTACCCTAGGATACTGTATGAAGTATGGATGAACTTTCTTTTCCTAGATTGGTTCCAGTTGTCCCAGCATCAATTATTTAAAAGTTCATCTTTACCCTATTACAGATGCTGCCTTTATTTTGATTTTATTTATGTGCTTAAGAGTCTGCTTTCGGTTTTTCTGTTTAATTCCATTGGTCTGTCAGTCTATTGAGCAGGTAGTATCATGAAGAAACAAAAATCAGTCTATTGAAGTGGATGAAGGACAGATTGATGACTTTCCCTTGGTGATAAGAGTGGGAAACCAAAATTTTGCCTACTGATGAAACATGTATACACCTTGGAATCAACCTGTTCAGAGAAGCATAAGGGAGCTTAGCTATATTAGAAGATAGCATTACAGGAGTGCATGAGAGAAATTACCAAAGAAACTGAAGGGTACATAGCCCCAGTCCATTAATAACCTCATAGGCTGTGTTAAGGAATTTGGATTTCACCCTATAATTAACTGGAAAAATTTGAGAAGACTAATGAAATGTAAGGTTATATCACAGAATGAAATTCTGAGTTCAGTGGACTCCTCAGCAGTCCATAGATGGGCTTGAAGTTTTATGTCTCAAAGAGATTATTCTAAGGCTTTTATTAGGTTCTCTGAAGTATTTGGCAAGCATACACACACACACACACACACACATTAAGAATGCCTCCTTTTAAAAAGATTTCACTGATAACGGGATAGGATCAGATTGGATGGGGTTTAAAATTAAAGATAGGGTTGCCACCTAAGAAGTTTTGCTTTAGAGTAGGCAGAATACGAATAGCAGAGGGCAAAAGTGAACTTTCCCTTCTGTTCATTATTTCTGGAAGGTATGGCCAGTTCTCACTATTGGCAGTAGTTATGTTCTATATATTTCCCGCGAACACTGAATAGTGAATACTGAACCACTGCTCCTAGGACAAGTGCAGGATTACTGTTAGAAATGAGCTAAAGATGGCCTCTGTATATTGTCCCCTAGATTGTTTATTTCTTCACAGCAGGCTGGGGTCCATTAGGTTAAAAGTCACCTGGCATAGGGCATTTATTTACAGTATGAGAGCTAGAATAAGAAGGCATGCCACCTTGATTAACCTCAGCTGGAAAGGGTAAAATTTTTCAGTCTTCTGTGCATGCCTGCAAAAGCATTGCAAGTATTGATTTGGGGGTTAAAAATAAATTTTAACAAATAGGCAAATTTTCAGATACAGGATCCATGAATTAAGAGGATCAGCTGTACAAATCTAGTCTCTTGAATACCTCCAGTGATGAACCTACTCCCTCAAACTTTTCCCTTGCTGAATAGTTTTAACAATTATATTGAGCTAAAATCTGTCTTCTGTTTTTCAAATCTTAGGCCCTAATTTGGCTTTCTGGATTGTTCCCCATTGACATACTGTTTAAATTCATCTGTCTTATATTCACTTTCACTCAATTTTTCACACTCTGGCATAAGAGTCCCAATTTCTTGAGAAACTTTTGGTTTGCTAAGTACCTTAGTGATTTAAAAGAATGAAACCTTTAATTTTGTTATTAACTAACACATCTTGCCTGTCACCCTCCACTCCTCTCTCCGCATAAAAACTGACCATCCTGAGCTCCCATTGCTTCATCTTAGTCTACACTGTGTTTGTCAGTTCTTTTTCAGTTTTATATTATTCAGATTAACAAGAAGGGAGATGAATCACTGGCAGAAAAGACCAAGATAGATAACTTCAAATATACAGAAAGATTATCTTTCTCTCTCTTTTCAATGCCTCTTCTCTCTTCGCTCCTGATGTCATCTCTACTTCTCCTTAAGTTAGCTTCATTCTGTAGCCAGATTTTCTCAATGTACTAGGGAAGATAACCATTAGGGATTCCATATTTCTGTCTTCTTGGAACTTTACAGTAGGAAAGAAACTTCTGTCAACCAGAGTTGATCTGTCAGTTAAAGGAAGAACTGTAGTACTTTTGGGTCATATATCTAGCCCTGGATCTGGGATATGGGAAACTGATTAGCCAGCTTATGTCATGTGCAGCCAGAAAAGTAGTGACCCTAGATTCATAACTTCTCAAGTACCATGTGGCTTTTAGGGAAAGGTGGATTCCCAGAGGAAATAGAAATGCTAAACAACAAATATCAGCTGTATACCTTAAGACAAGTATTCTCTTCTCTGTTTAGGATCAGTAAGAGATCTCTTAAGGACCATGATAATGATTGAAGGATTACAGTTTTCAGCTTTGAACAGTGTTGGATCAAAATTGATTTTGCTTTAAATGTTGACATTTATTATTTCTCAGCAGAGAGCACTTAGTGATCTGTTATATTTTCTTTTCTTCTATGTATTTAAGATATTTTGTAATTTTAATAAAAAACTAAAAATTAATTTTGCCTTAAGTTGGTAATAATAGATGCTTGAGTCATAATTTTCCATTAATATTAAGTTGGCCCTAGAAGAAATTTCCTGACATAGTAATCCATATGACATTTTCAAAATGTTATAAAGGTAAATTACTGGGTTGTTGTTTTTTTTCAATGTTGTGAAAATTTTATAATTTGTTTATTCTACCTCATATCCCTTCTTTATGATACTGTAGGTACCTGCACGGTGTGGAGTCACAGTCCGGGACAGCCTGAAGAAGGCGCTGATGATGAGAGGTCTAATCCCAGAGTGCTGTGCTGTTTACAGAATTCAGGATGGGTATGGTTTGTATGTGATGTGAAACTTTGTTTAAAAAAGGGAAAAAACATCAGATACTAAATTTTGAGGTATTCTGTAAGATCTTTACCCAAACCTAGGGTATTGAAAATCAACCTCAGAAAATAAAAATTAAAAAAAAATACTAAGTTAATTAGCCTAAACAAGTCTGGTATGCCCTTTGAGGAGTGAACATTAGATAATTTTGTGTGATGATGGTGTTTATTATTTTGATCAAATGACTCTGTGGAGTTTGAGATTCTTAAAATTTTGAACCATTTTGTCTGTTTCTTCTTTGAATAATGGACTCTTTCCCACTCCTGTTTTTAATATAAACTCATAGTTTCACCAAAGACTTATCAAAATTAACATTTTATATTGAACTATTTTTCAGAAAGCATGAAATTATGCCATGACCCCAACCCCTGCCACTCCCAATTTTGAATCCCATCTGGAAAAGAAAAAAAGAGATCTCCTTTTTGGGGGCATAGTGTCCCTTGAGTACTCTTTTTCTTTGAATGGATAGGTAAATCCATACCTGTGATTTTTTTTGTTGCTTTTTTTTTTTTTTTTGGACCCCAGGAACAATCCATTTTCTGCTGTTGTAGGTCTTTTCTGGAGCTGACTTGAAGAAAAGAGTACATCTCTTTACCCTGCTGTTTGTCCAAGAGTGATACATTTATTTGGGGTAAACTTAAAAATTAATTTATTGCCATTTAAATTTCTAACGATGGAAGACTAGGGAGCCAAAACTCCCTCACCATTACTAGCCCCTCAATAACCAATTTTCATATCTTCAGCATGAGGTACATGAAGCTTTTTAGGTATGATAACCAAGAAAGGCTGTGTCTACACTTTTCAGGGAGAAGAAACCAATTGGCTGGGACACTGATATTTCCTGGCTTACTGGAGAGGAATTGCATGTAGAAGTGTTGGAGAATGTTCCACTTACAACACACAACTTTGTATGTACTTTTTATATTTTTTTTAATGTAAAAAATCATCAAGTTCTTGGAGTTTTTATTTAAAGAATGTGAAGTATGAGATGGAACAATTTTGGCATTGTTTTTTCACCTAAGTTGAAAATCAGTTTTATTCTTTAAAGGAAAAAAAGCACCACATATTAAAAAGTTCTTTTTTTAATCATTATACTTTGTCTTTAATTTTAAAAAGTCATAGATAGTCATTATTAAAAAAAAATTCTTAAAAAATTTGAGTGGTATGAAAGTATACCAAGTAAAAGCGTAGAAGTACCCTACCAGAGGTAAATAGTTGTTATTAATAATTGATTATTGTGTAGTCTTCCAAAGTCTATATAAAATGTGTGTTCTTATATCTGCAAGCCCAAAATAGTCTTTTTTACTTCCTTTATTTTCCTTCATTATTTTCCATTTCTTTCCTCTTTAAAAAAAACTAAAAATGGAATTATATTTTGTATGTTTTTTTTTAAGTGTTAAACACAGCATCATAGGCATCTTTCCATGTCAGTACACCTAGCTTTATAATGATTACATAGTAGTCCATAAGAATATAAATTCAGTGTATTTAACCATTCCTCTTTGACTTTTAAGTTTTTAAAAAATCCATTCTAAACATGGTAAATAGACTCTGCATACACCTTGACACACTTGTGTAAATGTTTCTGAAAGAGCATAATGGAAGTGGAATACCTTGAAGACTGAAGAAAGACAGATGTTAAAGCTCTCCTTCCGTACTTCTCCCTTTATCTGGTTTTTGCATTTGCCAGAACCTAGCCTAAGCTAAGTGTATCCCGCATGAGGCCTGGAACAATGGAACCTCTCTACCTCAGAGATAAGGGTACAGTTCCCAGAGCTTGAGAACCTGTCCTCTGAACAAGTAGGCAGCAGTCAAGATTAGAGTGATCTATAAAGCAGGAGTGCATTTCTTACTTTTCTGTGTATGAAATTTGAACTGTAGTTTATTTTGCTAGATGGATAGTAATTGCTTCCCTTTTGGCATCGAGTGTTTTCCCTTGTGCCTTTGTGATTAGAACAGCTGGGCTCTTCTGATTTCCCAGGGGGTTAGTGTTTTGGGGGCTCCATTAGTGGTGAATAATGAAGTTGGCTTTGTGCTTCAATAGATAAGGCATCTTTTGGACAAGTGTAAAATACACCTGATGTCAGTCAGATTTACCGTGAAGCAAATAGTTTTATAATCATGAGATAAGGCATTCGCTAGTATTGATTTTCTTTTTAACTTGTAGAATTTTGAGAAGATAAATCTTAAGAATTTTTATTCCAGTTTTTAGGAATTAAAAAAAAATAGTTGAGTTTACATTTCAGTGATCAGTACTCTTTTTCTTGGTTACTCTTAATTAAAAATTGGATACAAGAAGGTATCCAAGGCTAAGTCAGTAGCCTTGAAGTAGTGCCTCAGGCAGGTCCTTGCCACAAGAGGGCAATGAAAGCAGACTGCAGGTGAGTTGCGGGGTGTGGGAATCTGCACAGCACAGCTGGAGAGCTGCCAGGAAATGTTTGTTGAGATCTTTTTGTTTGCCAGCATTTTGTCTGATCTGGGGATGTAACAGTGAAGAAGAAAACAGGATCCCTGCCCTAGGGCTTCCCCGGCAGCTTAGGAGTAAAGGATTCGCCTGCAATACAGGGAACACAGGCTGGATCCCTGGGTTGAGAAGATCCCCTGATGAAGGAAATGGCAGCCCACTCCAGTATTATTGCGTGAGAAATCCCATGGACAGAGGAGCCTGGTGGGTTACAGTCCATGGAGTCGAAAGAGAGTCAGATACAACTGAGTGACTAAATGCTTTAATTAAGAATTTTCATTAACACTCTTAATTACTGTATACATTTAAAGTGCTATAGGTACACAGAATAGAGATTCCTAGAATAAATGTTTTCATTAAGAATTTTCATAAAGACTCTTAATTACTGTATACGTTTAAAGTGCTGTATGTGTGTGTGTGTGTGTGTGTTGGTCGCTTAGTCGTGTCCAACTCTTTGCGACCCCATGGACTGGGGCCCACTACGCCCCTCTGTCCATGGAATTCTCCTGGCAAGAATACTAGAGTGGGTTGCCATTTCCTTCTCCCTTGAAGTAGAATAGATACACAGAATAGAGATTTCTAACCTGGCTTTTGAGGAGTCAGGAAATCTTCCCAAAGGAAGAATTATCAAAGCTAAGACCTGGTGGATGAGGAAAGATGAGTGAAGGGAAGACTACACTCAACAAAGGGAAGAGCAAGAAAGCTTGTTACCTTTTCAGTTTTGAGAGAAGTTTAAAATGGAGGCTACATACTTGGAGAGGCGGATGTTAACGGTGTAGCATGTATATGGGTGGAGTAAGCTCATGTGAGTCCTTGTATGCTCTGTTGAAGATTTGGACTTTTCCCTAAAATCATTGGAAATTTAATGACTGTTATAGGCAAGGGAGCAGTGTGTTTAGATTTGTGATTTTGAACAATTGCTCTTAGCATCATATAGAAACAAGAGTAAGCCTGTGTTCTGCTTAGAAAGGGAAAGAATTCCTCTCTCTGCTTCTGTGTGCTGAATTTTGTTGGCTATGGCAGGAAGGCTGCTTATGCCCCCTGGTTTCATAGTCTGTTACAAAGGCGATTCCTTCAGCATTTACCTGTATCCCAGGAATCCTTGGGAATGGATGGGATGGAGGAGGCAGGAAAGGTAGAGAAACAAGATTAGAAGCAGATGCCATGGGTCCAGACCTTCCCATGTTACATAGATGCTAACCTCAGACAGCCCCACACCTTACAAATCAACGCACGCAAATTGCCTGTTCTGTGGCCCACATAAGTTTACCATTCATGTCTCAAATTCCAAAATAAGCATACGTTGTGGCCCAAAAGAAAAGATATATCTTCCTGTACCTGCTTATAAACAAAGGTGTACATACAGAGGTATATGTCACTCAGTTTATGCTCAAATGCATACCCATATTTTCTCCTTTCTGCTTCCCTGCTTTCTCCCTTCTCTTTTTCTCCCATTTCCTTTACATACAGAAATAATCAGTTATGCATAGTTTTCAAGTATGTCAGTGACAGGAAGAAAGACTGCAATTGGCTAGATTTAAGAAGGAAGAGAAATTAGGGCTTCATGAAACAGATTATTAGGCAATTGAAAGTATGAGTATGTAGCAAAAAAGATAAGATGACTATAAAATGCTGATTCCTATGAATACAATTTATATTTTTCTCTGCTCTAATTTCCAGAGATTACACTCGAGTATAAAAAGATGCTTGTTAGTAAATAATAGCCACATAAATATTAAAGAAGTTTTTTCTTACTGCTTGTATATCCAGAGACAAATGGAAAAGGAACAAAGCTAAAAACAGTCAGTTGCCTTTTTATATCTTCTATAACTTGATCCATAGCCAGAATGTGAAGAAAGCAAGAGCTACTCTTAAAACTATCTAGTTTATCTAAATATTCTCAAAAAGCCAGAATGGATGATATGCCAAGGTACTATTTTCTATGAAACATTTCTTTTAATAACATTTTATCCTGTTAAATATGTGTTTATTGAAGAGTTTTATAAAGTGAGTATTGAAATCAATTTATTGGATCATGAAAAGCATTTATATGGAATAGAATGGATTAGAAATTCTGATGTGCATTATATAGAGAGTAATATTACAAGCATGCAACTATATCCTGGATCACAATGTATTTTTCTTATTATTGTGTATGATTAATGTTGTCTGAAAACTTGAGAATATACAGCAAAAAAACAAAGGACAAAATAGAGTTACCTATGTTCTCATCACTCTCAAATAGCCTTTGTTAACATTTGTCATTTACTTATCCTGCTTATGTTTTCTGCTTATTACATACACAAACCAAACAGTTGTAAACAATTTCTGGTTTTGTCCGTTACCAAGATAGAACCTCCTAGCACAGTTGTGTTTATGTGACACATGTTTGCCTTCTGACATGGAGTTCCTACATGCTGCCCTGTCAGCATCACATAGAGGGATGGTCACAGATACACTGAGGTGTTCTGATCCTCTAACAAACTGATAATTTGTTAAAACGTAGTTCAGACCATCTTTTAGGTGATGTTCCTATCCTTTGTCCTAAGTTAACAAGTTTAGGTAGGGTTAATCTGATTTTCATATAATTTTAATTATAAACTAGTTTTTTTCTTTTGTAACTTTTTTTTTATTATTAGTTGGAGGCTAATTACTTTACAATATTGTAGTGGTTTTTGTCATACATTGACATGAATCAGCCATGGATATACATGTATATGTATTCCCCATCCCGATCCCCCCTCCCACCTCCCTCTCCACCCGATCCCTCTGGGTCTTCCCAGTGCACCAGGCCCGAGCACTTGTCTCATGCATCCAACCTGGGCTGGTGATCTGTTTCACCCTAGAAGATATACATGTTTCGATGCTGTTCTCTTGAAACATCCCACCCTCGCCTTCTCCCACAGAGTCCACAAGTCTGTTCTATACATCTGAGTCTCTTTTTCTGTTTTGCATATAGGGTTATCGTTACCATCTTTCTAAATTCCATATATATGTGTTAGTATACTGTAATGGTCTTTATCTTTCTGGCTTACTTCACTCTGTATAATGGGCTCCAGTTTCATCCATCTCATTAGAACTGATTCAAATGAATTCTTTTTAATGGCCGAGTAATATTCCATGGTGTATATGTACCACTTTTTAACACTTTAATCAAAGTATACTGCATTTTAATCAAATGTATATAGTTTTTAATATAGTGCAAAGGGGTTGCCCCAACCCTTATTAGCCTCTAATGCCACTCTATAGAGGAAACCATTCTTTTCCTTTTATTTCTTCTTTCTTTTTTAAATTTGAAAAAAGACATAGGAGACTTGGAAAATACAGAACAAGGTTATATATAGTTCCACTATATATTACAATTATTTCTTAAGTAGATAAATTAAGATTTTTAGTTGGAGTTTCAATATCAAACTGTCAAAAATCAATTGAATAAATAGAAAAGTACAAGGATATAGTAGACCTGAAAAGCTCTATGAACCAATTCAACATAACATAATTACATTCTTAACTTTTAATGGTTTCTGTTTTAAGCTCTTCTAGTGATTCTTTTCACGTTACTGAATAATAACTTCAGGTCACAGCTTCTGTATCAGTTTTAGACATCATTTTCTTAATGCCAGTTCCATTGGAAATTAGATCATCTGTAACATGACAGCCTTTCCCCCTCTTTCCTCTCCTCCTCGGAAGTGTTTTTGGTTTTTGTGGGTTTTTTGGTTCCTCTGTTCCATACCTTTGTAACTTTAAGCATGCTGTTATTTCTTGTGTCAACACCAATAAGCATCTCTTAACTCCTTTGTAGAATTATTCAAGTGTACTCTCACTCTTTCTTTCACCTCTATTACTTCCTTCTCCTATACTCTTATATAGTAAAGCTTGAAATTAGTTTCTAGTCTTTTATTCATCTCCCATCTCCTTGACTTCTGAGTTTAATTGAATAGTGGATGGGAGATAAATTCATATAGTCCATCTGTTACCTTGAACCCCCTGGTTTCGTTTTAGACTCTTCATGGTTAAGCTGGTTCTCATGATGTAAACATAGTAAGTCTACAGCCATACCACCCTGAACGCGCCAGAGCTCCTCTGGTCTCGGAAGCTAAGCAGGGTTGAGCCTGGTTAGTACTTGGACGGGAGACCGCCTGGGAATACCAGCTGCTATAGGCTTGGGTTTCCCTGGTGGCTCAGATGGTAAAGAATCCGCCTGCAGTGCAAGAGACTCGGGTTCGATCCCTGGGCTGGGAAGATCGCCTTGGAGAAGAGGATGACTACCCACTCCGGTATTATTGTCTGGAGAATCCCATGGACAGAGGAGCCTGGCAGTCTATAGTCCATGGGGTCACAGAGTTGGAGACGAATGAGCGACTAACACAAACTAAAAATTTGTTATTTTAAACAAGAGAGTAAATAAGTTGATTTCTAAAAAGATTCTTACAGAATCCTCCATGATGTTTTACTTTGCAGGTACGGAAAACTTTTTTCACCTTAGCATTTTGTGACTTCTGTCGAAAGCTGCTTTTCCAGGGGTTCCGCTGTCAAACATGTGGTTATAAATTTCACCAGCGTTGTAGTACAGAGGTTCCACTGATGTGTGTTAATTATGACCAACTAGAGTAAGTAATCAAAAAATTTTTCTTTTCTGCCACTTTACATTTAACTTTTCTTAATGTGAAACTAGTATGTCTTAGAGTCCGTGGAAATTTTCTTTACAGAAGAGTTGTTACAGGGAAAAAACAAAAGTTTTTTGAGGTTTGACTAGATAGTAGTGTAGCCAGTACTTCTCTTTCAGATTGTAATTCTGGTTTGCTAGACATTTCATTTATGTTTCATATTCTTTTTTAATTAATATAAGATCCCTTCCACATAGATATCACTTTAAGATGGTTTTTAAGTGTTTAAATTAAATTAACTATTATATTTTTGGACCACAGATGGGGGAATCTGGTTCTGTCAGCTGTTTTGTAAATTAAGTTTTCTCTTTCTCTCGAAGTTAGTGTGTGTCTGTGTCTCTCTCTCTCCCACTCCCTCTCTCAATATATTGAGTTAATTTTAATCTTTTTGTGTGTATTGTCACTACTGCTATTAAGGTCTTATTTTTTGATCACTGGAATTAGGGAGAGTTCCACTCAGTAGTTTAAAAGTACATGATAATAATGTAACCTTTTAGCAATAGATACATTTTCTTCTAATTCCTTAACCATAAAGCATAATTTTTCCTCTCTACTATGTAGAAATGTGCTATATAGAACAATTAGTTTTAGCTAAAAGAGTTAGTTTTAGCTTGTCTTTGAAAGTAGAGTATAATTTTTTACCCTAAGCTATCAGGCAGAAATACAGCTAATTGAATTTAGCAGTCTTTCCTGAAAATGCAATTTGAGCTCAGATATTTTTGTTAATTCTTTAATGTATTCTGGTGTATGAAGCTTCTGGGTTTTGCACAAGTTAGGTTTGTTTTGTTTTGTTTTTGTTTTTGCCTCACAGTTTGCTGTTTGTCTCCAAGTTCTTTGAACACCACCCAATACCACAGGAGGAGGCCTCCTTAGCAGAGACTACCCTTCCATGTGGCTCATCCCCTTCTGCACCCCCCTCCGATTCTATTGGGTATGATTTGATTCATGCTGTTCAGTGTCATGCTACTTGAGCTGATTTTTTTTTTTTTTTTAACTTTTAGTTGCTTTGAAACATTTCCAACATTTGGGTAATTAAATTAAGGACTTTTTTTTTTCAGGTAACTCATTACACCTGTCATACATTTGATACAGATACAGAGGGTTAAAACTGACATAGACTGCTGTAGGACCATACTTGGAAAAAAATCACGCAAAAAATAATTTAGAGTCCCTGCCTTGTGCTTGCTTTATTTTTAATATCAGATACAGAAGTATATGATTTCCATTTAGAAAATGGCCAACAACTCTGTGGGAGAAGGCGAGGGTGGGATGTTTCAAGAGAACAGCATCGAAACGTGTATATCTAGGGTGAAACAGATCACCAGCCCAGGTTGGATGCATGAGACAAATGCTCGGGCCTGGTGCACTGGGAAGACCCAGAGGGATGGGGTGGAGAGGGAGGGAGGTGGGAGGGGGGACCGGGATGGGGAATACATGTAAATCCATGGTTAATTCATTTCAATGTATGACAAAAACCACTGCAATGTTGTAAAGTAATTAGCCTCCAACTAATAAAAATAAATGGAAAAAAAAAAAAATGGCCAACAGTTTTAAGCTAAATATAATCTACAATTTATGATATATTATTTTAAACTATGTGATAAATATTACAATGTTTACAAAAGAGAATAGAGAGAGTAGTGAACATTTAATCAAGAAAGTGGGATTTGAACCGGACCGTAAAGAATTCCAGAATCTGAATGAGTTCAGGAGATAAAAGCACAGTAGTGATGGGGGTGGGGGGAGAAGAGAAGGACAGAAATAGTTATCTTCATTTTCTAGTTTATCCATTTTCTTTAGATTTGATAATAACATTTATCAGATTTAATCCAGATTTTTGTTTTTCCTGTGTAAAGACCAGTGTCCTTTGCATACATATTTCTGACTTATGTGCTACATGTTGCTGTCATAGTCTTTATTATTAAGTTTCGAGAATGACTTGCTGTCACTACACCAGATCAGTTACGTTAATTAGACCACCCTCTACAGTTGTAGTTAGTTAAGGCTTTTTCTACTTTTAAGTTCTGACATAAAGTGTGTCACTGCCTTGAGACTTTAGATTAGCCTCTAAGTATTTAGAAAGTCAGTGTGTGTTTCAAAACTTTCTAAAAGCTAATACTGTCATTTTAAAATTCTTTTTACCTGCTCCCAAAATCCCTTGCCAAAGGCTGTTATTGGCTGTCTAAAGCAAAAGCACAGCTTTGTCACAAACTAAAAATTAATCAATTAATCATAATAAAAAGGACCAATAGAGCAATTATTTTTATTTCAATTCTAAGTGGATTCATTTAGTTAATATGAACAGCTAAAGTTAAAATTTCTTTCCCTACCCTTTTAAAAGGGTGCTTCAAAGAAGTAAAGCTCATAAGCTGGTATGGTTCAGATTCTAGTAATATATTTAAATTTAGAAGCTTCTTGTCACAAGTTGGCTTTTTTGACTCTTCCGACCTTCATCTGGTCCAAAACTATATTTTCTTCTCATTCCTCTTTAAACCCTCTCTCCTCTTAAAAATGTCTTTTTATTCACCTCAGCTGTCTTTCTGGCTGTCTTATTAACCACTTGATACTGCTGATTACAGAGTTTGCATAAGATGGGGTGCAACAATAACCAATCTCTGAAGAGAAGCTGATAGCATTGAATCATTCATTGGTCCTGACGGAGCTCACTGAGTCGCACCTCATCAATCAAGTGGTACTCACTTCTCAGCTCCCTTGGATATTCTTTCTGAGGGACACAGACTTCTCATGGGTGTTTACAATCTATTCTCAAAATTTCAATGTGTTCTGTGAATGCCAGCTTCATTTTGGGGGCAGTGAGAGATCATAGACTTTGTTATTTATCTACACTACCAAAATAGGTCAGTCTGTCACAGTTTCATCAAAGAGCAATTTTTACAAAATTTGCTTTAAGGTTTAATGTATTATTCTTCTGTGTGTCTTGTATCAGTTATTGGGCATGGTAAACATTTCAAACTATGAGAGATTTGACACTCCGAGAATCATCTTTTGAATTTGGAAATTATTTTTGCCATTTTTGTTCAATATTTTAATTCACCTCTTGTATAAAGCAATAGATACATGAAATACACATGTGCTTTTAAAAGATTTATGATTTCCTAATACTTCCCATAAAAATTACATCTTAGTAACTTCAACTATCAAGAAATGGCAAAGGTAGAAACAATTAGCAGACATTATTCAGTCAGTGTGTACTTTGAACATTTTTGTATAATGTTAAAGAACAAGAGTTTCTTCAGCTGATTAACCACAGGTAATTTCTAGCCATTTGTAGATCTCTCTGGAATTTTCTGAATAAAATCAGTGTTCTTATCATTGATACTTCATGGAGGGTCTTCTTGAGCAAAGCAGCTTTGTTGGTGTTAGTTGCAAGCATATATTAGTTTTTTAAACTAATTCTTTTAAAAGCCATTACTGCCATTACCTGTATTTTAAGGTTTTATTTGAGAATATGGAAACAAAATCTTCATATAATTCATTTTTCTATATTATCTATCTCTAGAAAGTTGCTCTAAATCTTATCTTCCAATTGCTTGACTTTTTCCAGGCCCCCAGTTCTCACCAGTCCGTCTCCTTCAAAATCCATTCCAATTCCACAGCCTTTCCGACCAGCAGATGAAGATCATCGAAATCAGTTTGGACAACGAGACCGGTCCTCATCAGCTCCAAATGTACATATAAACACAATAGAACCCGTCAATATTGATGTAAGTATCCAGCAGTGTCCGAATCCAGAAAATTCAAGTGTGTTTATTTTTCTGCTGTTTTTTTGGACCACAGATTTGGGGAATCTAGTTCTGTCAGCTGTTTTGTAAATTTTGTTTTCTCTCTCTCTAGAAGTTAGTGTCTATCTGTGTCTCTCTCCCCTCTCTCCCATGCCCTCTCTCAATATATTGAGTTAATTTTAATCTTTTTGTGTGTATTTATAATATAGATTTATAATATAGATCAGAAATAAGTGCCATCTTTCATTTATCATATTTAGTATAAGTGATAGACTTTTCATGAACTACAGATCAGAAAAATCTTGTCGTCTTCTCTGATGGCATAAAATATTTAACTGGTACCAAAGTATAGAGTTATTCTCATTGGTTTTTTCCTTATGACACCTCTGTAAAAGTCTTATCTTCATTTATTTAACAGATAATCAGTCCACTTAACCCATTTGAAAGTATAGAAAAAATAAGAATATACTTGCATATTTCAATGTGAAATCTTTACCGAAATTTCTAAAAGTTCAGCTTTGAGTTAAATAACCCTTAAGGACTAATCATACTTTTGTACTTCTCATGCAGAGCTACCATTTACCTTCTTTACTTTCTTGAGTATACCATTGTGGAGAAGGAAATGGCAACCCACTCTAGTATTTTTGCCTGGAGAATACCAGGGACAGAGGAGCCTGGTGAGCTGCCATCTGTGAGGTCACACAGAGTCAGACACGACTGAAACGACTTAGCAGCAGCAGCAGCATACCATTGTACTCCATCTCTATACAAATCAATTATTTTAGCTACTTCTGGCTGATCACTCTTGAATGTTTTCCTTTTCTAGTTTATGTTACACACTGGAAGTTAATTATGTACCTCAGTGTCACTTCTTCAATTTAACCTTAACTTCTGGACAGCAAAAACCATTCCCAATATAGTTGCCTAGAATAGGAAATATTAGGTGATGACCTAACTTTAGAGATCATCAAAAAATATTTGTGTTAATAAAAGGCTTACAAGACAAAGCAGAGGTCTACTTCCCATAATACAGACCAAGGATCAGCAAACTCTTAAAGGGCCAGATGGTAAATATTTTAGGCTTGTGGATCTTGCGATCTATAAAGACAACTGTTGAACTCTGTCACTAATGTGAAAACAACCATAGATAATAAATATATTTTAAACAGGTGAGGCTTTATTCTGATAAACTTCAGTAAAGCAGGTGGCCAGCCCATTGTTTTTTGCCAGTCCCATATATAGACAAAAGGGAAAGAAGAGTTGAGAAAAAAATAAATTCTGACATACACAGGATCACTCCAAAAGGACTGGTTCATTCAGCTGTATCATCCTGATAACCAAATTCCTGAAGAGAATAAAGAGCCCTTGACATCTGAGCTGTGGTGGGGTCAGGATCATTTCTTCCATAATTTGTACTTTAGAATAAAAAATGTGGGTTATCCTTAATCTTTGAATGTAATAAGCAACAAAACCGAAAAGCTACCAAATTTGTTTGCATTGGGAAGTAATCATATTTAAAAAGAAATCTGAAACTGTTTTACCCAGATGAGCAGGATACTAAAGTTACTGAGGAGTCATGTGTATGCTAGAGGACAGCCTGTTGTTCTCTAAAGAGCCTAATGTTCTCATTACACAGGCATTCCTCCTGTGAGTCCTCATAAGGTTGAGTAAATGAGCCAAAATTATCCTAACAGGAAAATATTCACTAATTAACAGACTCCCCTAATAAGTCTCCACCCACATATCCCTCCCTCCCCATTTAATACTAGCTTTCATTCCAGCCCTTTTTCATTACTATCCAACATTACAATGAAAAAATAAAGCAGACTGATTGCTAGTCTTGACAACAAAAAAAAGATTTTAAGGATTTATTGAAGACAGTGAAAAGTCATTGGGAAATAAGGATACAGCAGAATTAAATTAGTCCAGTTAACAGTAAAAGAGAGTAAGTGTCTAAAGGATGACAAGAGAACAGGCTTTTAAAAAAAAAAATGAATTAAATATCAAAGGATTGATGGAGTCATTGAGGGAACTGATGAAATCCTTTAAAACTTTTATAGAAATGATTGATTATGATGTGAAAGATGAATGTTAAATTGAGAGTTTATGCTATTGTAAGTTTGATATTATGACCAACAAAACCTTGATTCCCTCTGTATTAATTCTAAGAATTAGCATATTATTGACATTATAACTTAATATTTTTGTTGAAGTAGATGAAAATAAACTTTTTATCAATCTTAATTTCATTTTTCAAGATACATTCCCAAGTCAGACTTTCTTTGTACTTTTTACTATGAAAATTTTTTTTTCTGTTTTTGTTGAATTTATTTAAAGTAGTCTTTTCTTAATACCAATTTCTCTCAACTAAGAAGGGCTTCTTCCATCTGGCTAGATCCACATACAAAGGGGGAAAAAAGTAGGAGAGGGAAATAAGGGAATAAGGAGATTGGGTGAAATATGAAATAAAATCTTATTTCTAGGTTAGATCTATTGTCAGTATGTTCAAAGTTGTAAACTTTGTATTTACTTTCAAAACTAACATTCTTTAGAGTATTTCTCCTTATATCTTAGTGTTACTAAAATTCTCCTGTTCTCTTGGGCGTGAACATTTGGAGTGTCATGTTTATATCTTGCTTTTTCATCTTCCCCATAAGCAAATAGTCATAAGATACCACCTTTCCTTTTGATATATATCTCAAATTTGTTTTTTCTACCACCATTTGGGCCCATATTTCTTCACTTGAACTACTTATGACATTAATCTGCTGTATAAATTTCCTGCCATTGATTTCTCTGTCCATTTACATTCTTAATTGCTACTGTCAGAATAGGGTTTTATTCTGTTTTATTATTTATTGTAAGACTTCAATCACCATCTGTTCCTTTGTTATAAAACTTTTGTTTACTTCCCATTGATTATAAAATATAAACCTTTTAGCATTTCATTCAGTTTCAGTCATTTCTTTCAGTTTCAGTCATTATTTGTCATTTATTATTCCAGTAAACCAAATTTAATATTTACTGTGGGATAGGCACTGTGTGAGAATAGGGAATTAAGATGAAATAGCACACAATCTTTGTCCTCAGGGAGGTCATGGTCTAATGGATGAATCAGACATATAAATAAATAAACACAAAAATATAAGGTGATAGTTTATAGAAGGGGATGAACTCTACCTGATTAAAGACAGTCAAGTTTAGCAGAGAAGAGACAACATTTAAGCCAGATTGTAGAAGATGAACAATGAATATGAAGGAGTAGGAATTTATTAAGTGCCTAGTGCTAGGGGTTTTAAGAAGGAAGAGTATTTGTTAAGGAAATGGTATGTGCAGAAGTATGGAAGTACCTTTATGTGGGATGTAGTTAATACTTGATATTGTAGGGAAGATGACATGTATTATTCTGATGTCTGTGTAGTAGTTGATAGTAAAGGGTCCAGTAAACTGAGTGGGAAAGAAAGTGGTCAGCTCTTTAGAAAAATCTTTTGAATTAGTGAGAGATTTGATAGACACAATTGTTAAGATTGATACTCTAAATAGCATACTTACTATGTGCTAGGTCCTTTACCAAGTACATAAATTTTCTTATTCCATCCTCATAAACACTTGTGAGTTAAGTACTATTATTTTCCTTCTTTTACTGTTAAGAAAATTAGATTTAGAGATGTCAAGAAACTTATTCCAGATCACACAGGTGATAAATGATTGAAATGGGGTAAAACCTGGCCATTTTTCTTATAGTCAATCGCTGTTCTATCTAGTAGTAGAGGAGAGAGGTGGGAGATGAGAGATAAAAAAAGACAATGCCTAGAATTCTCTGCCTTAGGTGACTACATAGTATTTATTTGATTGATTAGGATAGAAATGCCTAGGGAAGAACGGGGTTTGTAGAAATGAAAATGTTAACTTTTATTTTGGACATACTGACTTGAAGATGTCTGTGGATCTTTACTGGTTTAGAAATCCAGTAGCAGTTGAAATAAAGACCTTGAGTAGATATACACATTTAGAAATAATTAGCCTATTTGTGTTAAAGTCATGGATGTAAATGATATTACTCCAAGATTATGTAAATTGAAGAGGGTAGAAATGCAACCCCAGTAATCATTAACATTTGAGATAAAGGCAGAGACCATCTTTCTCTGTCTCCATTATAGGCTCCTCTTCCTAAATTTAGTTTGAAACAAAGAAGAGAAAGTAGTGTTGAAGAAGCCAAAGGGAGAAATGGGGACTTCAAGAATGCTGAAGTAGCTGATGGCAGTTGCCATTGAGACTCAAATGAGATAGAACTATGGAATACATTCAATATAACTATTGAACTGGGCAGTTACAGTGTCATTTTAATGTCATTGAGAGCTGTTTTAGAGGTCTAGTGGAGGAGAGCAAAAGCTGGTAAAGATGTGGGATTCAGTGCCAGATTTGAGAAGCTTGGCTACAAAGGAATGATGAAAGCCATAGACTGAAGCAGTCACATGAGAGACTTGAGCATACTTGTAACTTGAGGGGAAGAAGCAAGTAAAGAGAGAGGTTCAAAAGAACAAGAGAAGGAATAATTAAGGTAGTAAATAAAAATTCCGTGAACTTGGAAGTGATGTTCCTCAGGGACTATGAGGAGTTAAAGGTGAACCTAGCTAGGTCTGCAGCTCTTTAGAGGCAGATGACTTAACCTTGGGGCTAACAGTGTCTGCCCCTTGTGATGATGATTCTTGGCACAAAAAAAGAATTCAGAAACTATAGCTAATATTATTGTGCAGATGTTTGTAGATATAGAGACAGAACAGAATGTTCTTTGATAGCTTCTGTTTTCTCTATCCTGCTGAAAAGGGGAAAAGCAGTAATTAAGAAAGGAACCATAGGAAATTGGGGGAAAGTTTGAAATAGCCACTATCGGAATACTAGAAGGTCCTGTTTAACCTAGACCACATAGAAAAAGATTGTCAGAGAGCTTTAAGAACATATTTAAGATTGGAAAATACAAGCTTTTGGTGGTTATTAGCAGCAGGTTGTCCAGAAGGCCTTTTTTTTTTTTTTTGGGCAGCGCTGCTCAGCTTATGGGATCGTACTTCCCTGAAGAGGGCTTAAACCCCAGCTCTCAGCAGTGAAAGCTCAGAGTCCCGGACCACCAGGGAATTCCCCCTCTGCTTTTCTGCATTCCTATCTACCACTCAAACTCCAGCTCTTAGATTAACTTCTTCAAATGCTTCACCAGTGACCAAGTTCTATAGTTGTTTATTTATCCTTTGAACTTTTGTTGCACCAAGAATCTTTTTACATATACCGTTTATTTGGCAATTAACTAAGCAACTTTGGCACCTTTTTTTATTGTTTTCTTAAGCTCTTATTTTTATGTAATTTCTATTTTGTATATCTTTCTTAGATGATAAGCTCTCAAGAACTCAAAGTTAGTGAGACCACCATGATTTTATATTTATTGGTAGTCATACAACTGCTAACACTTAGCACCTTATTTGCAGATAAGAGTATTTGTTAATTATTCTGTACAGAATGTTAAAGGTTTTTTATAGTACATTGAACATGGCAGAAATGCATCTGTAAAGAATGTTGTCTTGTTTTAGCTTATAAGCCTTTGAGCATATTTAGAGACATTTGAGGCAGTTCAGTCAGTCTCTCTTATCAGTTATACTAGGCAAACTGAGTTCTGTCTGTCAAGGTCCAAATCAGTCCACATTGCGCTGCGTTGCCAGTAGACTCCTCCCCCGCTGCCCTGCCTCCCCCTGTCTGTTGTAAAAAGCTGTGTTTTAATAGTAAAGACAATTTAAAAAATTTTTCCCTTCTAATGTGTCCTTAAACATTTATATTTTTATGATTGTATCAGTGTACACTTAATTTTGTATCCTTTTTAAATTATAGACATGTTTCATGATTCAAACTTCATAACTGTTTTAGTAGCTGCATAGTGTCTTCTAAATTGACACACGATAATCTACTTAACCAGTGTATGTCAGTATGCCGGAAATAGGGAAGTCACTATTTCTGGCATTTTTTAGTATAATGGATAATGTTGCACTAAACATCTTTGTGCATATCATTTTTTTTTCTTCTGAATTATTTCTTTAGGAAAAATTCCCAGAAGTGGAATTATAGGATCAAAGGGTATGAACATTTTATGGCTCTTAATATGTGCCAGTAGAATGTTTTTAAGCATTAATGCAGCCATTGGTTTTGAATGGCCTGAAATGGATTTCAACATTTGATCAGGACTGATAATCCCTTCAATCTAGGGTTAGGTTGGCAAGTGTTTCAGAGTTTTTATTTTATCATGTTTACTAGTTAGTTCCATATTATTTCTGTTTTGTGAAGTAGTTTATAAGACAGGTATTATTTTGAATTCACCTTTCTGTTAATGCTTAGTGGAAAATAAAATGTTGTTGCCTTTTTAATCATATGCTTTGATTAAGTATACATTACTATCTATTTGTAGGACTTGATTAGAGACCAAGGGTTTCGTAGTGATGGAGGTAAGTAGTGATTTCAATTTAAAAAAAAAAAAATGGGGAAGAATGCAATTGCTTTGCTGCTTGTCTCCTTTATATTTGCTTCTTTCATGAAACACAGACACAGAAAAATACATAGAGAAAAATAAAAATTGTTTGCTTTTCTTTAGTAATTATCATTTATCTCTAATAAAATTTTAACTGATTTTAAATTTTTAACTCTAGAAACAGAGGAAAAAGAGGACATAAAAGTGGAGTCTTAAATGTGACATCTACAATTTTTAAAATGTTGTTATCAAAGAGAAATCTTAATTAATTTACCCACTTTATTCCTAACTATCTCCACTAATACTTAAAGACTGAGCTTACAAACAGTTAAAACTTGACTTTCTTAAATCCTTCTTGGGGGAGAATCCCTGGAATTACCTGCTACAGCTTGTCAGTTTGATAGACACTATCAGCTACTTCCCTTCAGCTTTCTAGAAGGCCCTGGAAGATGCATTTTATAGCATGGACCGCTAATAGAAAAGCCTAGTTCCCCTCTTACTAGTACAGTAAATAAAATAAGCAAATGAGAAATTGAATTGAGATTTCTTAAAGAATTGTTATCAGCTGTTTACTCTGGCACCCAGTGAATATTGGGGTCATAGCAAAACATTACTTTAGAAAATACTTTTTAAAATAAGAGTTTACCCCCATAAGATCTTTGTAAGAGATGCTGTTTGAAACAGTCTTGACGTTTTCTTCCAGGTGATCCTTTATGCTTCTGTTTTCAACTGTCATCTATTTAATAAGGAAGCCCTGCAATGCCCACATAGTTTGTTTAGAGTCGGTCTCTTCACTGTGACCCTGCTTTATATTCAAAATATCTAAGCCCAGATGCAAAGATACTTTGTCAAATGTTGCATGAACCATCTTTTATTATGTTTCTATATACTTGTGGACCTACCAAAATAATAAGCCTGTGTTATGTACTCTGGACTTAGTATTTACTACATGTAGTACATAGTTACAAAAGTTTTTTTTTTTCCTGTTTGTTATTCCATGAACCCACCAATTAATGTTGCTGCCAGTTTGACTTTCATATGTCTTAATAGCTGTGGCTTTTGACAATTTTGCCCAATACATCTGGCATTTAAATGTTGCCATCATGTTAGCATCACAGAGTTAACTTAGTCATAAAAATTGCCTGCTTAGTACCAAAAATCAAACAGCATTTATCCTTTATATGAATCACTTTTAAAAGAATGATTGGAATTTTATGAAAATAAGCAGTTTTTTAAACATCCAGAATTATTTTGTGAAGCAGGCTTCAACTCATCTTATTTATTCCCCGTGACTTCTTTCATTTCTTCTGTGTCTGTCTTCCTGTGTTTGCCTGCCCCTCTCTTTCTCTTCTAACAGCCCCTTTGAACCAGCTGATGCGCTGTCTTCGGAAATACCAATCCCGGACTCCCAGTCCCCTCCTACATTCTGTCCCCAGTGAAATAGTGTTTGATTTTGAGCCTGGCCCAGTGTTCAGAGGTAGTTGGGCTCTTCTTTCTTGTTTTCACCCAAAGCAAATTAAATATAAACAACAGATACTGTTTGTGTCTCACCTTCACAGTGTGTTTGTAAGTGTGAGAGTTTTCAGTACTAAATTTCTGCTTGGCCTGGCTGGAATGCTCTGAATGTGCTTCTCTCACATACTCACTTCCACAAGCTTTCTGTATGCTGTCTGTCATAAATGTTTAAAAGCGAGAGCTGAAATTTCCATCTTGTTTTTTGTTAATACTATTTTTTGGTCTTGATAATTTCTTAAACTCGGGGTGGCAGTAAATAATGTGGGGAAGGTTTTCTTCAAGCTGAATTTCTTTTACTTTAATCAATTTAAGTGATAACCTTGATGGTTGCTAATGTCAATTTTTTTGGTTTTTAAAAAATGGAAATCCCTATTATGATTTCGTATTAGACTTTTGGCTTTGTCTTTTTGTAATATGTGCTTTTTTAAAGCATAAGCCATGTATATTTTATGTCAAAACTAGGGAACTTAAAGAAGATCTGTAATATATTTGAGGTATTTTAGCATACTTTAGAAAATTAAGATTGATACTTTCAGTTATGCTCTCATATGAGGGGAAAGTTTAGCAGTATAATTTCACCCACCCATTTTATCTCACCATTCTTTAATTAGTGGTTAAACTAATTCTTTAAAATTTAAGTCAAAATTTGGACAAGTGTCTTGCTGTAAATATTTTTAAAGAATTATGTTTACTGGTTTTTGCTAGTGTCTGTTATTTATTCTGAATGAATGATGGTTTTCAGATTTTTGCTTTTTCTGCCCAACTTTCTCAGAGAATCCATGGAATGGGCTAGAAGTTATAGGGAACCGAGTAGTGTAATTAAAGTAAGTGATGCAGTACAGCGCTGAGTAGATCAGAACTGTGAAGCCAGGGTAGACAGTTAAGGCTTTATGATGTTGAAATATTATCAGTGGAAGGCACAATATGGATTGTAGTTAATAGAGATTCCAGTTAATAACTGTAGTTAATAGCTATTCCAGGTGTCATTTTCTTTTAGAAAATTGCATGTGAGATCATGGAAATTCCACATGATGACATATGTGGTAATAGTAATGATGAAATTTCTCCACATTTTTAACATTTTATTTATTTATTTATTTATTTATTTATTTATTTATTCTAGTTTTAACATTTTAAATGTTGCCATTAGTATTTTGATCCTTATCCTTTGAGAGAGAGTGACTTTTTAACTTGAGAATAGTTATCTACTTTTTAAAAAAAAATGGAAGTCTTTTTGTTTTGTCTGTGCAGTTATTAACTGACATCTCAGTCCTGCTTAGCTATACTCAGGCCCCACCAGGAATCATTACCCTGAACCCCTCTGAACCAGGTACTTTCTGTACATGAATTGGGATTTTTGCTCAGTCAGCACTTGGAAGGAAAAGCATCCATCAGAAAGGTATGCAACCCTGCCAGCTGAGTCCATTTTCAAAGAGTGTAGCCCTTGGACTCATTTTGCTGATAAATATTTCCATTTGTAGTGACTTGGATGAGATGCCATTGCACTTACCTTGTTCTCATTTTATAGGCAGAGATTTTTCATAAAGTCTTGAGAAACCTACTTGGGTTTGTTGGCATTAACTTTGTTGTGCAGGTAAAATTAATCTTTGTTTAGCAAAATAAGGCTCCAGAAACCAATGACAGTGACTAGTGTCTCTCTTAAATAGTATATAGTATGTAGTGTAGGATTTTTTTAAATTTTAGTGGCTAATATGAAAGAGTTAGATAATGCCAGTATTAAGGCCATTATTAGAAAATGTTTCCATTTGGAGCATTTCTATCTTTTTTTATTATTATTATTGATTGGCTGTTAATGTCACATAATTGAAGTTTATTTTTTATGTTTGCTTTCAAGTTAATTTTGCTTTTTGTTTTTTTGATCAAAGGAAAAATTGGGATATATTTGATTGTTTTTCTCCTAGACTCTGCAGCAGTAAGCAAAGTATATATCTATAATCATATATTTTAAAGGTTATTAAATTGACCAAAATGCTAAAATTGTAAAATTAAAAGAAACTATAGTTTTTAAGTTTATAGTTAATCACCAGATGAGGCCGTCTTTTTGCTTGTCCTTTCCTAATGGTCAATATTAAAACATGCACTGCATTTTTTAAAATAAGTCTACATCTCCCTCCACCCTCTGCCCCCAGTAAGCTAATGTACTTGATCCTCCTTTAATAGATAAATTTTTCCTTTCACTAACTTAGGATCAACCACAGGCTTATCTGCCACACCCCCTGCCTCATTACCTGGCTCACTCTCTAATGTGAAAGCATTGCAGAAATCTCCAGGACCTCAGCGAGAAAGAAAGTCCTCTTCATCGTCAGAAGACAGGAATCGAATGGTGAGAGTATATGATATCTTTTTTCCTCTGAAGTGCTTTCTTCCTAGAAATCATTAAGAGCTGATAGTTTTTTGCTTAAAGCATATTCCCACAATGTTGATTTTTGCTCTCAACTCTAATATAATTGAGTAAGGCAGTTTGGGAAGAGTTAGAATAGTGTTCTGTTTCTAAACTATGGAAAGAGAATAAGCTGGTATTTTAGGAAGCATTAGGCATATGTGTTTTTTAAAGAGTTGGTCTGAAATTCAAATATCTACCAAAGGACATTTTTTCCTATTGAAAAGTTAACTCTATGCTGTAACTTAAATATTTATTAGAAACGAATCACATTAGCAGTAGTGCACTAGTATGTATTGGCTAAGTGGATTCTCTGTCATACCAGAGTTTTGTATGTGTTGATGACATTTTTGAGAGAGAGAGATTGGATCAGATAAGATGTATGAAGTAATTTAGTACTGACTGGGAGAAAATAATTAGATTATCAACAGTTGCCTAGTACCTTAACTCAAATTTTTGGCCTTTGGAGCCAAAGCTAGTCACAAATGTGTAGTGCTTATCTTGCCCCTAGTTACTAGTCTTCCAAATGATTTTTTTTTAAGTTGCTTTATTTTATTGATTTTAATACTGAAATTTAATATAACATTTCTATCTCATAACCAATAAATAATTTTTATTTTTACTGAATTATTTCCACCCTAATATTGACTTAGTTCTTAAACTTAATTTGTGTATTGTAAGAATCATCTTCCGATTATTCCTCTAGAGTATACTTTTGTTTTGTTTCTCCCCAAAGTTCTTATTCTCTTCTTATGTCCTTTTCAGAAATAGAGGAATGTACTTAGTGTCAGACATAAAGTTTTCCATTTTTGTTTGCTTTGGCTTGACTTTTGCCTTATTTTTATCAAGAAAACACTTGGTAGACGGGATTCAAGTGACGATTGGGAGATTCCTGATGGACAGATCACAGTGGGACAAAGAATTGGATCTGGGTCATTTGGGACAGTCTACAAGGGAAAGTGGCATGGTATGTATGTCATACAGTGATCTTGTCACAACTTTTGTTAAAAAGGAAATATCAAAGGGAGTATTCACTGTTTGTATCATTAAGCTGTTTTGATCAGATGTTTTGATCAGAGTTCCCCAAAGGTTTTTAACAAAAATTATGGGAAATAAAAATTGGATTCACAGCACCAAAAGTTCTCTCATTATACTTCAGTAATAATTTTTAAAGATGATGATCCTCCGGACGAGCTAGTCACCAAGATTTTTTTTTAATAAGTCTTTCTGCTGGTAATTTTATTTGTATTATAAACCACAAGTAAACATATAAAAAGAGCACTTAACCAACGGAAAAAATGACCAGTAAACATATGAAAAATCTTCAGTCTTACTACTTGTGAAAGAATTAAAAATTAAAAAATTAGAAATCATCATTGCCTCTCAAGTGATTTATATTTCTTTGAAAAAATAATCAAATGGACAAAAAATTATTTTAATTGATTGTTTAGAGTTGTGACTGTAATGCTGCTGGTGGGAAAGTAAATTGCTATGAATTTTCTGGAGGGCAGTTTGGCAATATGTATATGGAACCAATAATTTTATTTGTAGAACAGGAACAAACAGATGTGTAAGTATATTCATTGGAGATTTAATATTAAGGAAAAATGGAAATAACTTAAAATGGCCACTAAAAGAAGATGGGCTTACACTGACAACGTCCATATATAATTATATAGATAGTAAAATGGTATGGTAGATCTATATTTATTGGTATGGAAAAGTTTCTGTGGTATATTTTAAAAGCAGCATGTATAATATCCCATACTATGATGCTACATATATATATCATAATTTTCTAAATGACCACCAGTATTTTAGTATATATCTTTTTTAGATTGTCTTTTTCGTGTGTGTATGTGTTAGTCACTCAGTCGTGTCTGACTCTTGGCAATCCCATAGACTATAGCCCACCAGGCTCCTCTGTCCATGGGATTCTCCAGGCAAGAACACTGGAGTGGGTTGCCATTTCCTTCTCCAGAGGATCTTCCTGACTCAGAAGTCAAACCTAGGTCCCCTGCATTGCAGGCAGGTTCTTTACTGCTGAGCCACTAGGGAAGCCCCTGTCTTTTTCATACATATTTATGAATATTCATACTGCGTACTTTTAAGAGCCTAGTAAGGAATACAACAGGTCTTCCCATGTGGAGCTAGTGATAAAGAACCCACCCTGCCAATGCAAAAAATGCAAGAGACGTGGGTTCGATCTCTGGGTCAGGAGGATCCCCTGGAGGAGGGCATGGCAACCCACTCTGGTATCCTTGCTTGGAGAATCTCAAAGACAGAGGAGCCTGGCGGACTATAGTCCGTAGGGTTGCAAAGAGTCAGACACAACTGAAGTGACTTGAGTATACACACAGGGTATACAGGAGTAGGTTAACAGTGATCATTTTTGAATGACATGATTATGGGAGCTTTTTATTTTATTCCTTATGCTTTTAAAATGTTTAATTTTTTAAGTTTGTTAGTTTTTTTTGCTGTAAGCACTTGGTAATCAGGAAAAATCAATGTTAGTTTAATTATATTGAAATATACATGCAAATAAGTGCACTTTAATGTACAAGTAGCTGAAATTTTGCAAAGTTAACACATCTGTTCAATAAACAGAGCATTCCCAGAGCTCTGGAAGTCCTCCTCATGTCCCCCACCCCCAAGAGTAGCCACTGTCCTTAGCCGAGCAGACATCATAATACAGTGTGTACTCCTTTGTGTCTGGCCCTTTTCACACTATTGTTTATAAGATTCATCCGTGTTATTGTATGTAGTTGTAGGTTATTCATTCTCTATATAGTGTTCATTGTGTGACTGTAGGCATGACTATTTATTGTGTGACCAGCGTTTGAATAGTTTCCAGTTTGGGGCTTTTATAAACGCTGCTGCTATGAATATTTTAGCACCTGTCATTTAGTGAACAATGTGTCCATGGTAGTTGGTATACACCTAGGAAAGACTTGTGGGGCCAGTAGTAGATACTGAAAACAGTGTTTCAGGTGGTTGTACCAATTTATATACCTTTTGGCAATGTGTAAGAATTCTACCTGTTTCATATAAAGTTTTTTTTTTTTAATAATTTTTCTAAGTAAAAGCAATAAGTGATCTGTGGATTTGAAGGAAGTGTTAAATACTCTGATAAAGAAGTTTGCAGTTTTGTATTTCCACAAAGTTCCATTGGGCCTGTCATCTGCAGTTTTAACATTCAGTTAGTGAATGCCTCTAATTTAGTTTTGCTAAATAGCTAGAAAAATACCATGGGTATTTAATTGGTTAAACTAAATTTCCAAGAGAAAAATGAGATAGGCTGGTTGTTTTTGAGGGAAGGGGGACAGAGATTGATATTTTAAAATACTGGTATAGGAGTGTCATTTTTTAGTTTTTATCCTTAGAAAATTAATGTCATTTAGGTAGTTAAGGTATAATTTATTTGCAGTTTTGTAATGGTATGGTTTTAATGCTGTGGTAATTTGTGAAAATACCCTAGAGTTTTTTATATTTTTAAATTTTAAAGATTGGAATGACATTTGGAATGGCAATTACCTTTTAGGTGATGTGGCAGTGAAAATGTTGAATGTGACAGCACCCACACCTCAGCAGTTACAGGCCTTCAAAAATGAAGTAGGAGTACTCAGGTAAGCTTGTGTGAATCATGTTTTCCAGAGAAGTTACCGTGCTCAACTTGTGTTTTTCAGTGACAGCTGTTGTTAGCTTCACGGATTTACTCAAAATGGACAAGACAGTCTTTCTGAGTATGTTTTGTCTTTGACTATTTTCTTTTAAGGGGTATGCAATATTATATGGTACAGACGATAAAATTACTAATCCTAGAGTGAATTAATGGAAACACAGTGTTCCGATCATGAAAAGTGGTGCTTTTTCTTATGGAAATACTGCTCTAAAAATTCTAAGGTTATCAGAACACACTTAGAGATTGTATCAAACCTGGAACTTGAGGGAAATGAGCAAACTAGAGTATGTCCAGGCAAGGAGAGCTTAGATGCGGAGGATTCTGGAAGTATAACTTAGGGAGAAAATTGTCAACAGAACTGAGACTTTAGGTCCATAGGAGGCTATTACGTTCAAAAGGTATAAACTTGCTCTGTTTTATTCTAGAGAGTAGAATAGTGAAGCCAGTGGTGAAAGTTGCAGGAAAATGTTTTTTTCCTTAGCCTAAAATTTTACTAATACTAGAACTACTTTAAAGGGAAGAAAGAAAAGAAGAGGGGACTTCCCTGGTGTCCAGTGGCTATGATTCCACACTTCCACTGCAGGGGCACAGGTTACATCCCTGGTGAAGGAACTTCAGATTTCCCTGGTCGTGGAACATGAATTCCACATGCCACATGATGCGGCCAAAAAAAAAGAAAAAGAAAAAAAGAGTAGTGGGAACAGGCTACAGTCTCAGTGATGAACATCCCATAATTAAAGGTATTTAAACAATATCTAGTTGCCTATCTATGAGGTACACTAAAAAAGACATTTACGAAAAAGTTAGGATGTTAGACTAGACAATTCCTAAAGTCTCATCTAAATTTATCTTTCTCCTGCCTTGCTAAAAAATACCTTTTTCTGACAGCATCTTATTGATAAGTAGACTGCTTTGGCCCTGGTTTTGTGTTTTTTTTTTTTTTCTAACATTTGCTAAAGTATATCAACATTTACTATTTCCTGTTACATTTCTTTTTACAGGAAAACTCGACATGTGAATATCCTCCTCTTCATGGGTTATTCAACAAAGCCACAACTGGCTATTGTTACCCAGTGGTGTGAGGGCTCCAGTTTATATCATCATCTCCACATCATTGAGACCAAATTCGAGATGATCAAACTTATAGATATTGCACGGCAAACTGCACAGGGCATGGAGTAAGTTCCATTCTGTTAAATCTCATGTAAATTACTTTTGAAGACCACTGAGGATGTTTCAAAGGTTTTAGCTGTTATTCTTTTGACTTAAATTCCCAGTTACTCTCTAGCATCATATAGACACTTTTAACTAATGGCTAGCTTTGTGATATTAAGAAATAGAATAGTCTGTCTCTGTACAGTCTTCAAAACATATATCAAATATTTGATAATATATATGTGACTGTGAATTTATGTTTAGTATACTATAATTTAGCTAAGCAGTGAGGGATCAAAAGATAAAAATAGTCCCCCCCCCAAAATAAATCCACTGAAAAGTCATCAATAGTTATTGAAGCATATAAAATGATTGTTAATTATCCTTTCAAGTTATTTTCTCCATGTGCCCCTGTTTTCTATTGTAAAATAATAATCTGTGTAAAATATAGTAAAAATAAAGTAAAAGTGAAAGTCTGCATTTTGATCCTTTTTAAGGATTTCAGCTTGATTAGTTCATTGAATTTTACTTTGTAATTTAAAAGATAAAACAAATTACTTTATAAAATTTATCATAGGTCAAAGTAAGAAATTGACTACCAAGGATAGATTTCGCATAAAGTGCAAATAGTAAATACATCAAAAGGTAAAATTAAATATATTTTGGTTTTTTTTGTTTTTTTTTTTTAAATTAAATATATTTTGAAAGCACTTAGATGAAAATGTTTAAGTGAGTTAAATACAATTTTGAAGGTTCCACATGTAGTTTAAAAATATGCATGTATATTAAGTCAGTTTAACATTTTATAGTATACAGATGATTTTCACATACATAGTCATTATGTCATTTAATTTTTGTAATGTTATGAAGTAGATATTTTATGTTTACAGATAAAGAAACTGAGGCTTCTAAATGATTTGTCTAGACTTATAAGCAGCAACAAAGATGTTTAGCTTAAAATTTTTGGCTCCCAACCATTATTCTTTCCCCAAAACCACTATACCACTTTTGCATTATAAAATTAGAATAAAACAGTAAAACTAAAACTCTGACTCAGGGTCATTTATAGCAAATAAGCATAGAACCAGGACTCAAAACGTGATCTAGCTCTTAAATCTTCCCACTGTTCTACCCTTTCTGTCAGAAAACTAGGCAGTATATTTGTAATTTAGGTTGTTTATAAGTCTGTATTCCGCCAAAGTCCTTATTGCAGCAGCTTATTACTTTATTCAGTAACATTCCCACTTATCCAGTAGACTAAAACAGCCCCGCCTCTGACTCTGAATCTGTTCAAATCTGAAAGGTTGTATTAAAATCTTGCAAAGAGTAAACCGTGGCCACAATGGTAAACATTGAAAGAGAAACAAATCTTGTTCTGCTTCTATGCCACCAGTCTCTTTGCTGCTTCTTCAGCAGGCCAGGTATGCTCTTTGCTCAGGGCCTTTGTACTTGTTATTTTCTTTTTAGGATAAGTAGTCCCGCCACCCAGTATTCATAGAGCTTCTCCCTTATGTCTCTGTTCCAATGTTGCCTTTTCAAGGAAGCCTTCAAGTGATCACCTTATATAACTGACACATTCCTACCCCACTCTGTTACCCTCTACCACACTCCTGTTTTTGTTTTTAACACCCAACTCCACATGACATGTTTGTTTATCGTCTGTCATCCCCACTGGAATACAAGCTATATGAGAGCAGGGGGTTAATGCTGTGCTCCTTGTTTTATCTCTGATGTCTGAAACAAGGCCTGAGCTATGATAGATACATATGACAAAAATTTTTAAATGAAACCATGATTACATGCAACAGCATATTATTGATAGGTTTACCTTCCAGAAGAGAGAGCAGCCACATCCTTATCGTATCAAAAGTGAGAATTGTCAACAAAAGGAAAAACAGTCAAAGATGTAATCAAAGATTAACACAGAGGAAAAGGCTTTTGCTATACACAGAGGCAACAGAGAATAGTATTAAATATTGTTTTAGAAACAGTGACTGGGCAGTGAAGTGCAGTGTTGATTAAGGTAAGAAGTTGCGGTAGAGAAAAACACTGTCAAATTGGAATTGTTCTGTGGTCTGGGAAATAGTCAAGAGGCAGTATTTTTCCATTACTTTACAGTTTGGGATCTGTAAGTATAAATCTTTACAGTCTATGTGTTTAAAATACTTTGTTTGCATTTTGAAGTAACTCTTTAACTATATGTTGAGTATATCTGGCTGTGAATGTAGATCATCCTATTAGTTTATCCTTTATCTTAATAGCTGAAAAATATTAATTATAAAATATAAGCTTTCTAACAGATTATATTTTTTATTGCCAGCTTAAATTTAACCAAAGAAGATACAATTCCTTTTTTCCTTTTAGTTCTTATAAGACAATATATGCAACTGGTTAAATGTTCCAACACATCTTTTCTTACTGAAGGCTTTGGCAGATTGAAAGTCCTCTTATTAAAGTGGCTATGTGGCTTTCGGGTTAAGGTGACCCATTTTTGTTTCCTTGAGATGCCACCAAAACTATAATAATGAAAATTGTTTTTAAGCATCAACATATAATGATGGAGAGGAAAAAAAGAATAGCAGTAATATTTTAGAAGCTAGAAAGCAAATGAAAAAGTGATAATAGACATAGTGCACCCAGAAAAACTAAATTATTAACTGGGTGTGGAAAAATGGAAGCCAACCTGATTTGTACTATGGAATCCTCAAGAACTGGGAGTGTGAATTATCTTTGGAGGAGGAAAAGTACATAAATGAAGAGGACTGTCTGAAAGGTTTCTCTGGATCCCTTCTCGTGCTCTATGCCACTGGATGGACACCCCATCCCTACCCTGGCAGGACACTGGAAACATATTCTCTAGAGAGGAGAGAAAGTTTCTGGACTCAGGATACAGGGGAAATGGGGTGTGGGGGGGGAGTGGTGTTGGGTGACTGCCTACTAAGTGATGAATGGAGAGTTCCCTAGTACTCTATTTTCATTTGTTTCCCAGAGTACTGGCAGCCAAACCTTCCCCTTCAGGCAGGAGACTGGAAAACTCTTGTTTGAGGAATCTACCAGCCAAGAGTAGAGACACAAAGGTAGTGATATTAGGAATTCCATCTAGGTGGGAGTTCAGCACAAGGATTCCATCTGTATGCTCTAAGCTTTCAGACTGACTTTTAGTCTCACTTAGTCTGGATAAACACAAATTATCTCTCAATTACCAGACATCAGAGAGAAGGTCTCTTAGGCCAGTGACAGAGAACAAATGGGGGAAAGGAAACTAGGAATAAACAAACACAGTTCAAGAAGGGCTAACCTCCCCCCCACCCCCGCAAAAACCTCTTACCAGTTTCCCCAGAGATAAAAAATTTTCTATGAAATAAGGACAGATGCTTTATAAGGAACATTCCTATAACAATGTAAAAATGTTAAAATGCTGATATTTATAGTCAACTGGAAATTACGTTCCTTCCAATTATTTAAACTTTTAGATGTCAGGCCCCTCTTCCATTGTCCTTCACCATCATTTCACCAAGTACAGAACAAGCTAGATGTAGCTGACCAGTAGATCTGTAGACTATTTAAATAGTTGCTTAGTAATGGCCTTTATTTCAGCCCTCATTTCAAACTCGTCCACCCCCGAATGATTTCCAGAGACTATTCAAAATTATCTTTTCTGACTGCTTTCCAAAACTGATTCTAAAGTTCCAGGATGTAAGCAGAATAAGAGCATGCTGTAAAAAAAAAAAAGAGCATGCTGTCTCACTATATATAGTACTGGGGTTTCAGTCATTCCTAGATAAACCTTTAGGAATTAGGAAGATTGAATTATTGGGACTTTCAAATGTGTCCCTTTTATTGGATTAGAAAATATAAGCCAACAGTAGATGAGTGACATTTTTCCTGTGTGACTGTCTTCTCTCTCCAGCAAAAGATCATTTCTGATTCCTAGGTTTACTTTAAGAGAGCAGAGCTTTTCTAGTGGCAGATAATTAAAGATTCACTCTTAGGAATCAGGATTCATATAGTGTATGTTTATCATCTTCTCACCTGACAATCATTGATTCTGCCAAAGGGCCAAAGTATTTAAAGAATAACGTTACAGAGAAATTCCAGGAATTGTCAGTCAGTCGTGCTATTTCTTTTCAGGGATTTTCATTTCAGTCTAATACTTATTGTATAATTTTAAATGTAGCGTTACTAGAAAATTTACTGTTTACTCAGGGAGGCACACAGAAAAAGTTGGAATCTGTTGTTCTCACAGGAGTGATATATTCTGATTGTAAGGTGATTAAAAATAATTTGAGGATAAATTCTTACAATTTACTTTAAAAACAACAATGAAGTGCAATGGCAACCCACTCCAGTATTCTTGCCTAGAGAATCCCTTGGACAGAGGAGCCTGGTGGGCTGCTGTCCATGGGGTCGCACAGAGTCGGACACGACTGAAGTGACTCAGCGTGCACAGCATGCATGCATGCTTCTTTTTACTTGTAGGAAGCCTAGTTGAAAGATAGAAGGATGAATTGAAGCTGAGAAGATGGTAAACATGTATTAATGACTGAAAATAATTCTGATTGATCGAAGAATAATTATAGTAAACGTTATTTTCTGGCATATTAAAAACAGTATTTGAGAGGAGGATGCTGATAATCACAAAAAATGCAAATTAAAAGAAGTACTATTTTTTACCTACTGGAATTGCTTAAATGCCCAAATTCTGGCAAGATTAAGTATTGATAAAGATTGGGGGATTGCTTCCTGGGACGCTCCTGACGCAGCCAGCCACCCTGGGGATAACTTGGAAGGATCTATTAAAACAAAGTGTTTGGTCTGCCCCCAAGAAACAACCAGCTTTTGTTCCAAAAGAGGTATATTGAAGGAGATATACTACAGGAAAATATCTACTAGTGAAAATTTGGAAACATAAATGTTCATCAGTAGAGGACTGCATGAATAAAGTATTGGCATGTATGTGCAGGGAAAGAATATATAGCACAAATGAATAATAATATGTTTCAACATCAGCTTTAAAGTATGT